TTTTTTTTTAGTCAAGATAAATATAAAGAAAATCAAAATCCAAATTTGTATACCTTCATAAGTGAAGTGATCATTTGTTTTCAGTGCTTATTGCCACAATTAAAGACAAACTCTTTACAAGATATCAGATGATGATCCTATATTTTGCTACAAACACAACACAGATCAAAGCCTTTTTTCATTTTACTTATTATTCATGTTGCAGCTGAACTACTGCATGGGGTACATTAAAGGACCAATATCCATTTTCTTATGCAGAAACTTACCCGAGATAGACTCTTTTATCATGTCTGTATTTCCTGCTGGACATGTCTCCATGATCTCGTATAATCTTACGGACATGCTCTGGTGGCATGTCTTCTTTCTGAGCATCAATAAACCCAAATTTACGCTTCTCACTGTACCTTTTGGTTTGCAGCTGTTGCCATTTTCTGGCTAAGGAATAAAAATGACAGTTAAAATTACACAATCTTTGTATATTCAGAGCTAAATGAAAATCGCCCAATCATTATTTCAGGCTTTAAGAAAAATTACCTTTACAAAATCACTTGTAATCCCGTACTTTTTATTTAATCATGTAGAATAACTTAACCTGGGTTTTTACTAACATTTAAACTCAAGTTCATTGAAAAAAATTGTTCTAATATAAACTCCTAAGTAAAATTTACAACTAATAACTATAATGCAGACAGCAGCGTTCATTTTAGTAGTGCTAACTATTTGTCTTCACTTCATGGGCACCACTTTATTTGAAATGAGCTCTTGCATATTTTTAAGTACTTTTCTTTCAAACTCACCTTTTTCTTGCAGTTTATCTTCATTCATATAATCAGGCACTTTGGGAGGCTGGTGGTGAATGATTGGCTGCTGTATGATGGGGGCCTGTCCCACCATGAACAGCTGCCCACCAGGACCTACCACATAGGGCAATGCCATGGTGGCAACAGTCTACTCTTCCTCTGAAATCACAGGATAGTAATACTCTAAAATACCACTTGTAATAAATGCAAATCATTTTCAAAACATCAAAAGGCTATAAATACCAAGTTTTTCAATGTTTTTCACGTTCAGTGAGAGGATAGGGAATGAGCTAATGGACTCCTTATCTCCCTTCTTTTCTTTGAAATTGCAAAATTGACACAAATCGCAAAATCCAACCACCTGAGAGGTGAAATGAGTTTGTTTCAAATGCAGTTTTTACTGCATTCCCTAGAAGTAATTAGTAAACAAACACGTATGCTTCAATCCATCAAGTTTCAATTCAATTTGCTTCCTATGCCTTTTAATCTGGCAGATTGTTGAGATGGGTCAAAATAAAATTAGTTTACCAAATCTGACTGGGTTCACAGAAAAAATGTAACATAAAAACAATGGCTATGAATTACATGATGGCAGTGAAACAATGAAAAACATACACACAGAAACATCACATCAACTCTGCACTGTACAAAAGAAAAATCAACATCATCAATACATCTCAAGACACAGTAGTTTACCTTATTTAACCATCACCAAACATAAAAGTTACCGAAGTACTTCAAATATCTTTGAACAAAGTCACAACTTAGGATTGAGGAGTACGCCGGTCGAACTGTGCTTTCCGTCCCCAAAAATTATACAAATAATTGCATAAAAATCAACATGTTTTAACTTAAGGAATCGAGGTTCGTCAGAGTTAATTACCTTTCTTTATCTTTCTCCGGCGCCTTTAGAGTTCAAAACTCAAGCGTGTGTTTATCGAACACGCACAGACTTTCAATATGGCGGCGTCGTGCAGAGTACGTCAATCACGTGGTTCAAGACAGGATAAAATCTTAAAGCATATCTTCAATCAGAGCTAAATTTACTTCAATTGAACAATTGAAATTGCACATGGGGATTTATTTGCTTAAAACATCGATCTGGCGTTAACAAATAACTACATTGCTTGAAAATTAGAATAGCTAGAAGGGTTGTCTTGATCATGCCCTGTCGGTGAAATTGCTAATATCAACACTCCCGACCAGAATTGTGTGTATATATTGTCAAGGGCTTATGGGTTTTGGCAAATTTTCAGCTGCGTAAAGGATCTATGCACAGTGTGAATTTACACACTATAAGACTCGCATAATAATGGAACTGACCTGACGTAAGGCGAATAAGACTGTTGCAGACTTGAAAGTGGGAACTGTTTTGAGTTTTGACAGATCCGCACATGACCAAATAATTCAGCTGAAAAAGATCAAATTGAATCAAGGTAATATGCTCGACAAAAAGTGTTTTTTGTTGGACTGGAGCCACGATTGGAGACACGTTATCATAATGTCATTTACTTTTCTCAAACTATTTGATAATTAAGGTCGAATTAATTAAGAATTTAAAATATTCACAATACATGTATATATGTACTCAGTAGTAGTCTTTATAACTCAGAACTGTGAGGTTTATTTTGGTAACGTACAGTGTCAACTTGAAGGCCTCAGTTTTTTTTTATCATATACAGTGGATAGACTTCTATATCTATCCATAAAAAAGTGCATAATGCACTGGTGTCTTAAATTAGCTTGATTTGTGATAAACAAATATTCATTTAAAATTTCTTACAACAATTAATGAGTGTACATTTTTTCGTTTTTGTTGTTTTGGACTTGCTTATACCTTGTTTTTTTTTTTTTTTTACATTTTTTGTCAAAAATGAGCACTTGCTGTGACTATTGCATACAACATTTATTTTCCTTTTTTTTCTCATGATAATGTAAAAAATGTTCAGTTTCAAAGACAGTTTAAATGTACTGTAGATGTACAGTGTGTGGTGACATACAGTATATATTATCATTGACTATTAATCTGGTGTTAAAATTACACATTTGTCTTCATTGTTCAGCCTGGAAACAAAGATTGACTTTTGTTTTATTGAAGTTGTCTCTTCGCCTACTTATACAATACAAATTTGGCACACAGGTGACTAGATTACAGGTTAGTTGCGACTAGTTTTGGACTACTGAACAGGTCCAGACTGTTTTGCATATTGATGTAAATTTGATGACCAGGCTTTGACCTTGTTTACCACACAATGTACAGCTCTCTTATTTACCCAATGCTTACATCATTAAAACAAACACTTAGATATGCATGACAAAACACTTGAGATTCATGAAGGTGTCTGTGGTAAATGGTTAATTTTTGATAGTGTTTATTTGTTTCAATGGTTTGGTAGTACCATTATAGGTTCAGTATGCATAGTGAAGTATATTATTTATGTGATTTAAGCCACATGTCCACATTATCAATAAATTTTGAGTACGAATTTCAAAGATCTCACCTGTCTTATAGACTTAAAAAGTATGTAAAAACATTAATATTTTATTTAATAATCTGAAATTTTGAATTTTGTGATGCAAATATGCATGAGTAGATTAGGGAGTTATTTTGCAGTAACTTGTTAGGATACCTTGTTTTGTTAAAAAATCAAATTAATAGACCTATGCTTTCTTGTTTAAACTTCTTTTGAACAAAAACTATAATGTGATACTATGATGTTTCTTTATTAAGAAATAAAATCATTAAGTTATCCCTCTTCCCCCCCCCCCCAATGACCCTCCTTTTAGTAGTAGACAGGAAAGTATATTTTCATATCATATATGATGCATGTTCAGCCACGTGCAGATGCTGTGGTTGTATTATGTTGAAGAGTGAGTTGGTCAGACTTGTTTGTGTCTGGTTCTCTTATCATGGTTAATGAATTACAGGCTGCGTGCACCAATTAAGTGTGTTAGAGTGTTTGATTTTCACTTCATAATACTTGAATCAGCTGATGGAAGGGGAATTTGCGAGTCAAGGTGTGCCTTCAATTCTTTACTTTTTGTACATGAAAAGAAGAGTAGATTTTCAGTTAATGTGAGTATCTGGTCTGAAATTGCATAACTTAAGGTGGAATTATTTAAGTGTAAACCTGAATGAAAAAAATCTTATAAATCTTTTCATGTTTTGTTAGGCGATATCATGTGAACATGTAACCAACAGTTCACCTTCTGGATATCCTGTGCTTTTTGTTCAATCAATAAATGCATTTTTGCCTCAAGAAAAAAATTTCACTTTTGGTTTCACATTCCTAAAATAATTTGTGGAATACCTTCAATACATACCATTACTTTTATAAGTCATTTATTAAGAAAATGCAGTCAGTGATTGTTCATGGTAATTTGAGAGGTCAGAAGCACTAAAGTAGAATAGGACTAGGTTCCTTTGCCTACATCGCTCCATATGGATCAACCTAAATTGCTATCAACGTAAATGGCTTAAATGTCTGTCATGCCTACCGAATCAGCTAGGGTAAAGATATTACCCCCTAACAGCTTTACTAGGCGTGGCAGACATTTAAGCTGGTTAAGTTGATAGCAATGTAGTGAGACTCTCCAGGGAGATAGATCGATCCAAATAACTGTGGGAATGGTCCCTGAGTGAGTGAAGCTTTTACTTTTAGAATGTTATCTTACAATATCTAGTATTGGTTCTACATACACCCCTATATGTATGTCTATCATATCAGTATGGCCAAAAAGTAGGTTTCTCAAAACCTAGTGCACACTGATTGCATTGCTCAGCAGTTTCTGTATGGGTGCTGTAATTATTCATGGTATACAGGTATTATCACTGCATTACATGTATTTGAGGTCTGTCATGTCATGTTAGTGAATCATTGAAGGGTATTACCAAATTTTCAGTCAGTTGATCTCAGTAGAAAGTAAAAATCAAGTGAACTGAAAAATATCTGAATTCTTGTAATCCAAAATATTTGATATAGCTTTATTGGTGTTTTTCAGGAAAGAGGCTCAGGAATTAAAAGCTGCAGAGAGTTGTTCATAAACAGTGTAATGGCATCTCCAACTTTGGAATCTTTTTGTGGCTTCCTCAATGTTAGCCAAAACCAAAGTGGGATATCAGACATTCAGAAGAATGATAACATTTTCAAGGCATATAACATTGTCTGCATTATATCCTCAGTATTAAGCATAGCTGGAGCTCTTATCCAAGTATTGGGCACATCACACAGTGCAGCCCCATCACAGACTGGTCAAGCTAGAAGCAGGCGGACAGCTTTTGAGACAGTTTCAGGAAAAACACAGAAAACAATAATCAGTGCTTTAGCTGTCGCAGATGTGTTGGCTTGTTTTGGTAAGGTGTTAACAGAAAAAATCACTTTCAAGGATACAAATTCAGAAGCCATATTGATTCTAATTTCTAAATATTCATTTAAAGTTTTATATCCTTTAAATGATAAGGACTGATTGCCATTTAAACATGTTTACTTTAAAACTGATATGACATTTCTATTTTTTCTGGATTTTAAGCTTTTTGGTATTTCCAGGGATTTTGTTCAGGTCTGCACTATGGCTTGGTGACCAAGAGTTAATTACTGGACATTTGGAAGATCCTGCAGCTCATTTTGACAATGTCTTTTGTGCAGTGTGCTCTGTGAGTAAACCATTTATAAGAAGTATTTAAAAAGACTTCCCTTAAAAACTGAGCATTAAATCGAATCTGACAAAATATTGATCTAGTACAGATATTTGTAGTAGGTTTTAATGCTCTATTTGCAGAATATGCTGCTGTCTTGGGGTCAAGTATAATTTGATAAAATCTATGCAGGAAATGTAAATGAAATTGCTGAGTGTGGTATTTGTTTTTAAATATAACCATTGTTTGTACTTTAATACATAGGAGTGGCTTTGATATATGATTATCTAATTATTAATTTCAATATGTCGTGATTTAACTTGATTTGGCAGATAAAATAAGATAAACATGCATGCTTGTCTAGAATCAGAATTAGGCTATGCAACTGTTATCTGAGTTTCACCTAGTAGCCTAGGATGATGGTTAATTCTGTTAAATACCTTGTTTTTTTTTTTTTTTACAGGCATGGATTCATTTCTTTTTCCTATGTACATATTTCTGGACCTTCTCATATGCCATTGATGTTTACCTTGTTGTGTGTAAAATAAATCCGTAAGTGTTATCTGTGGCATTCATAATTTATTTACCTTGAAAGTATTGACATTTTTACATAATAATAATAATAATAATAATAATAATAATAATAATAATAAAGATAACTTCATATTGCCAAAATAATACCTTTTTGTTTAAGATCAGATGTGGCAATGGTGACTTTTTATACACAGACACTGTAATTGTCTGTATATATTCTGAATGGTCTGTCTGTCTGTGTTGTCCCTGCAGCTGTCGCTTTTCGACACAAGACATCATCCAGTATTACTTTCGAAAATCGGCATGATCAGTTTACATTTACAGTAATTATTGCTTTTTTGCACAATTTTGGTGATGTTCTTCTTATAACTTCCAAACCATATTTTTGTTTTTGTTTATATTTGGTAAAGAGACAGGTTGCATGTACATTGGTTAGATGCTAGCAATCCTTTTATTTGAATTATTTGTTTAATGTTGTAAAATAAAGGAAATCTTTTCTTAAAGAACTAAATGTGTTTTTCTACCTAGGAGGCAGGGCCTTGTGGCATGTTATACTAATAAGAGAATAATTTATTAAACTAATAAAATATATCCTTTTTGGTGTCTGAATATTTGTCAGCTTTGCTGTCTAGTTATACTTAACTCTTCAGTCAAATGAATGATCTTACTAGAAGCTTTATAATTAAATCAGTTTTCAAAACTAAATAAGGCAAACAATAGGTATTGCTTTTGTCACCTGAATAATGTCTTATGATACTGTAAAAACAGATCTGGATTTATTGGAAAATTTATGATTATTTTACAGCAAACCATGGTTGTATCACCTTTTAAGTTGGGGGTTGTCCTTGATTCTAGCTTTTGGTGGAATATTGCCTCTCTATACCCCTTTCTTGCTCAAGTAAGTATCACTTATAAAAATGAAGGAGTAGAGGCTGGAAAATTTAACCTGTTTATGGAACAATTTTGTTATTGTGGAAAAAAGTTTGTCTGTTATTTTATTACATAATTGTTCAAATAGGTATTACATGTACAAAGTTTGGGTCATTGAATTGAGATTTTTCAATTTAATTTTTTACAAAATTCTATTGCATTTTGAATAAAAACAATTTTACATTTAAGAGTTTTTTATCGGTGAGGTTTACAACTTCATTCAAAAGGGCTTTTGATCTTTGAGCCATTATAATCAGGTGGGCATTAGCATCACACTGATAACCTTCCTGGATGCAGCATTATGAGTAATAGTTCCTTTGTTAGTACTCAGTGGTATTCGTAAGTGCATTCTTCCTGGATGGGGGGAATTTTTACTAAACTTTATGTATGGAAAAGCTGTAACCTTATCCTTGTTAATAATGGAAGCATAATCCTACAGACACTTTATTTCTCTTTCTAGTTAATTTTATAACCAGTAAGTCATAAAGCCTTAAAGAGTAATTTTTTACTACTAAAATAATTGCACTATGGTAGGAGATGAAAAAAGAATATATTGGGCTTTTGATTTGAATATTTCAAAATAATAAACAAGTCTCTTTGCTCAACATCTGTGTGATACATCTTTGCTCAACATCTTTGCTCAACATCTGTGTGTTATAACATCTGTGTGACATTCAGTACAAAAACAAAAAACGTACCTGAGGCAAAACCAGGAAGTAGTGCACCTTGAAATTCCATTGAATCGTAAGAAATAAGTTTTTCTGGGACATTTATACTAGTATATATATATATATATATCCACTTGATATGGTCCGGATGAAAAAATTTTCCCCTTTTATTGTA